TGCATATTCCTAAATTTTATGTTGTAGATCTAGTCTAAAATTATTATTTTTATAAGGATTTCAAGAATCTTACATGGTTTACTTTCTTGAACAGTGGACACTGCGAGGACTTTGCATAGGTTTGTATATTCAGGATCTTGATCAGTGTCAATACTTGATATGCATTTGCTTTTGTGCTTAGTCACTGATCCCCACAGACTGGACTTGCCAGGATTTATCATTTTTATTGCTGTAATATGGGTTCTGCAACAACTAACAACAGTTCGCATTCTCCGATATGTAATTCTCTTCATAGGTATGGACTTATCCTGTCCCCTACCTTTTCTGCATTTTAGTTTGGTTTGTTGTGTTGCTTACATTCCTTCTTGGTGAACTGCAGGTGTTATGAACAGCTTGTTTTCAGTTTATGGTACAAACTATCCATTCTCTAGGATCTCATTTTTCCCAGATGGCATGACAAAATCTGACATATATATGACAATGCAGATATATATGATGACTTAATATCTAGAAGAGTGAACTCAAGTGATGCTGAGAAGTTTGCGGAACTCTGTCCCTGTCCTTGTAATGGTGTTGGTTGGGGAGTTATCTGGTTAGTCGTAGCTTCAAAGTGAATTTGAACTAAAGAATGGTAGGAGTTTAATTCATCATTTGTGAATCACAAATCTGTTTGTTGCTTGGACTGTTTTGCAGGGGAATGATATCTTTTATATTTCTTTGCGGAGCGATGTACCTTGGACTTGTCATTCTCTCATGAGGTATTATCTTTGTTGCTGATCTAATTTTGGTTTTACTTCCTTCTGGTTTTGTTGGATTGTTATCTGGCTTTATTTAATTCCATGTGCAAACCTTTAAGTTCAGTAAATAGATACTAATCACTTACCAGGTTCTCAGTATGTTCATTGTTATCATGTTCTCCAGAAATTGGGTATTTTTTGATTAGTTTCACTACTGATTGATTGAATTCTAGCATTTTTCAGTACACATAGCATTTGATAGTTTGTTGTGCAATAAACAACTATAGTAATCGGATCAAATCACTCTTCACCTCCTAGTTACCCATTCTCATTATGAATGTTTTAAGTGAAATGGAAAGTGATGATTCATATAACCAATTCCCTGTAGCTTGGTATTGACATATAGTTGTTATTGCATTAATGAACCCTCTCATGTATCGTCTTCCTTCACTAGCTCAATATTTTAGTGACTAAATAAAGGAAGTAAAGAGAACTAGAGTTATCTAATTGCCAGTTCTATGATAGAAACACAGAAGAAATGCCATGGAAATCTAACTCAGAGTAGCGATATGTGCTTAGCTTTTCATTCAGCTTTGTTGCCTTATTTTCCTCTTTCGATTTAAGGTTTCTCTGAACCAGAATCCAATTTACGATTTGAACTTGATCAATTCAACTTTTAAGGTTCTTAGCACTGATCACATTGTAGCTGCTCAGAACTATGTAACACCTTGACATCTTCACAGTCTAATTCAGAATCTGTTAATCTTTTCAGGTTCATGCAAATGACATTCAAGGACCTTACAAATCCTGAAGAACAAAGTAGTTGCATTTGTTGATCTCATATTCATTTCCATTTCCTCAATGATGTTGTATAGTTTTTAGACATCTATTTTTGTTCCCTATGGGCTCATTCTTTTACTCCCTTTCTTTTGGATGGGGTTAACATAGTCATGACTTTGTGTTTATATACCAAAATTCAAAAGTTTATCTTACCTTTATATTGTGGAAATTGAAAATTGATTGCTTAGCATGTGTGTGCCCTTGGTTTACTAGTGACTTACTTAGTTCAGCATTTGCTAAGGGTTTTTCATGCCTGAATATGACATGTAACCATTACGTGGGGCGTTTAAGCTGGTCAAACTAACTTATAAACATTGTTTTGGCTTTATTTATGCGCTAAGCATCAAAAGTGCTTACGAGTTAAAATAAGCCAAAAATCATATGTTAGTGACTCATACTTGTGATTTTTCAGTTTGATTAATATTTTTCACTATTTTATTTCTTAGATATTTTTTTGCAATCTCAAAAATTCATTTCCAAAATAAAATCTCTAACTTCCTTTTTCATTCATTTTCCACAATTTTTCTTTTTTTCTTTTCTTTTTTTGTAAAGATTAGATATTTCTAAGGGTGTGTTTGGTACGAAGGAAAATGTTTTCCTAAAATATATATATATATATATTAGTTTAGAAGCACTTTCAGGTTTTTGGTCGTAAAGATTAGATATTTCTAAATATATATTTTTTTGTAAATAGTTTTAAGGGCATTTTAGTTGTGTAACAAATAGCTTGAATTTTGAAAACTCTCTCTTGGTAAATGGATCTAACTCAGATGTTGTGACCACTTTCTATAAACAGAAAAAAATGTTGTGAACACTTTCCATGAAATAGGGCTGTGTGGCTGGATTTTAATTAAATTTTATTATATGGTTTTTTTAAAGTTAGGCACCTTGTACTATGCAAGAAAGTTGGGTAAAAGTGTAGTCCATTAATAGTGGTTATACAAAAAAAATTACAAGATATATCTTTTTATGCTAGCCTTTCTCCCTTTTTGTATTTATAATGTGTCTGTATTTTATAATTCCATGTATTTGTATATTCAGTATCAAATATGTATTAATGTATTCAATGTATTTGTATCCATCATTAACTTCATCTAAATTATCATGTATGCAGCATTAATTTCATATTGTGTATACTAATGTCAATTTCATCTAGTGTATTCAATATTAATTTTATCCAGTATATTCAATATTAATTTCATCTTATAAATCTAGTATCAAATATCTAGTGTATCCAATTTTAAAGATACTTTGATATAACCTATAAATAGATACATGTATCTGGTATCAAATATGCCAAATCAAGAAAAAAGTGAAGGAAAATGACTTGTGTGGTGAAAATAGTAAAAACCAATAAAATATATATCTAATGTATCATGTATGCAACATCAATGTGATGTATTCGGTATCAATTTCATACGGTGTATTCGATAACAAATTACCTAAGTGGCCTTCCAACCACATTGTCTCCTCCCAATCCACAACAACCCCCCACGCAACCACTCCTTTATCATCTCACCCTCGCTACCCCAAAATCCCACTCTCTACTGCTAGTAGGACTTGAACACACGACCTCAAGGAATTTTCACAATACCTTAACTACTAGACTACCCATTTGGATTGGCTTAAAAAAGTAGCTTTTAAGTCAAAAATAAAAAGTCAAATTGAAATGACTTTTAAGTCAAAAAATTAAAAGTAGGAGAGACCTACTTTTGGTTTCTAATTTATTTTAAGTCATTTTTTACTTATTTTAGCATGTTATTGGAGACGTTGCAACATATGTCGGGAAGGCCTCCGTTGATTGTGTACGAAGTCTTTTTATACCTTGTCAAACACTTCATAACTTATTTTAAGTCATTTTTGACTTATTTTAAATTATTTTTTATATTTGTCAAACACTTTCAAAAGTCAAAAACTGACTTAAAAGTAGGTTTGACCAACTTTTAAATCAATCCAAACACCATCTAAACCTTTAACTTATCTTTATCTCAAGAGGTGTCAATACTTTATATATATTCTTAACCACTAGGCCACTAAAGACATCGCTTGGGGCCCCATATTTTTAGGAGTCCCCAATTATTATTTTTTAAATACTTATATATATTATAAAAAAAATTATATGTACTTTAATTTATTTTTTAAAAAAAACATGAAAGAAGTATATTACAAAAAATAAACAAAATGATCGCTATTTTTCCCACTTTTTTAAGGGAATGAAATATTTTTTGGGAATAATTTCCTTAAGTGGGAAATTGTGTTTCCTTATTTATTTCCTTAAAATTTGATTCGATATTATTATTTACCTGATACTCATCTTTTTTGTTCTCTATTTTATTATTTTTTATTCTTAATATTGAACTCTTTCCTACAATTTTTTTTTACTTATTGTTGCTTACAAGTTACAAAAGAACAAAAAATGCTTTTGGGTGTCTTCTTCAAAATCTCAAGAAGTGCAACAAGCAATCGTTATATTGAAGGAATGCAACACTATTTTGATATTATTTTATCAACTTATCAAATTTGTGAGCCATGTTTTATTATTCTAACTTTATTTTATAGTTTTTTTTTCTTGAAAATCTATTTTTCTTGACATTCTTAGTTCATAAGTATATATATTCTTGTTTTAGTTATTATTAAAATTATTCAATTTAAATATGTCAACTAGAAAATATGATTTCGATTTTACTATAAAGAGAGAAAAAGAGAACTTGAAGAATTAAATAAATCCCAAAAAGGAGCTCTTGATAGATTTTTAACAAATAATAAAAAATTTGAATAAAAAATTATTGCTTAAAGATTAATGTTAGCAATTTCGGTAACCGTTGTCTCAGCCGAAAGAAGTTTTTTGAAACTAAAATTGATAAAATCTTATCTAAGATCAACAATGTCTC